GGCGCCGTCGCCGGCGGGAACGCGAGGTCTTGCGACAGGACACGGCGTGGCGCAGCTCCTGCAGCATCTCCTGGCACACGGACACCTGGGGCGGCGCGGGGCGGTCACCGCGGCCTCCCCGCCCCGCTCCGCCTCCCCCACTTCCTACCCCTCGCCCCGAAGCCATCTCCCGCGCCCGCCTCTCCCCAGCTCCATCTCCTCCTCCCTTGCTCCGCTAGTCCTTGAACTGCCCTTCCGGTCCTCTCCATCATCTTCCTCTTGTCGTGGCTACTCTCGTATTCTTTGATCGATTTATTAATTTATTTTTATTTTTTGTGCCGGTCCTGGGGCTTGAACTCAGGGCCTGGGCACTCGGCTGTCCCTGAGCTTCTTGGTGCACAAGGCTAGTGCTCTACCACTTGAGCCACACACAGCTCCACCTCCAGCTTTGTCTGAATAGTTTATTGGAGATAAGATGCTCACAAACTTTCCTGCCTGGGCTGGCTTCCAACCATGATCCTCAGATCTCAGCCTCCCCAGTAGCTCGGATTTCAGGCGTGAGCCACCAGCGCCTGACTGTTACTTTCATTTTCTTTCTTTCTTTTTTTTGGTTGGTCGTGGGGCTTGAACTCTGTGCCTGGGAGCTGTCCCTCAGCTCTTCAGCTCAAGGTGAGCGCTCTATCACTTGAGCCACAGCACCACTTCCAGTTTTCTGGTAGTTTATTGGAGATAAGAGTCTCATGAAGGGGCTGGGAAGGTGGCTCAGTGGTAGAGCGCTTGCCTTGCATGCCTGAGGCCCTGGGGATTCAATTCCTCAGCACCACATAAGCAAAAAGAAAAAAGCTGTAAGTGGCCCTATGGCTCAAGTGGTAGTGCGCTAGCCTTGAGCTAAAAGAGCTGAGGGACAGCGCCCAGGCCCAGAGTTCAGGCCCCATAACCGGACCCAAAGGAAAAAAAAAAAGAGTCTCATGAACTTTCCTGCCTGGGCTGGCTTTAAACTGTGATCATCAGGTCTCAGCTTCCAGACTAGCTAGGATTACAGGCGTGAGCCATTGGCACCCGGCTGCTGTTCTCATTTTCTGACGTGTCACTACCTCTTCCTTCCTCCTTGGTTCCCCCAATTTCTGCCTGGCATCTGTTTGATCATTATCGCAAGGCATAAGCACCTATTGAATGCCAAATGCTGTTCTGGGCATAATTGAAAAAAAAAAAAGGAAAAAGATTAAGTGCCAGCCGTTGGGGCTGCTGATGTAGCACTTCACTTGGCCTAACAGGTGCAAGGCCCTGGATTCCATCCCTCCTATCTCTCCCTTCCCCCAAGTCCCAGCCTTCCTGGAGGTTATAATCAGATGTGCAGAGATAGACAGGAACACACACAGGTGTACACAGGAAGGCAGATGGTGAGGGAGAAAACAAAACATGGAGAAGAGGCAGCGCGTGAGGATGGAAGTGAGGCTGAATTCGGAGACAATGCAGTAGTGGAGGGGACCTGTGCCTGTGAAGACCTTGGAAAAGAAAGAGTTTCTGGGTAGACACAGATCAGGGCAAAGAAGCTAAGGTGGAAGCGGCTTGGCATGTCCAAAGACACACAAGCAGATCAGGGAGGCTGAGATGGGAGTGTGAGGGAAGAGAGAGGGGGTGAGGTCAGAGAAGCAGGGGCCAGATAGGGTAAGGCCTGTAAACCCTTGCAGTCCACAGGGTTTTGAAAGGGCTGGGGAAAGAGGGGAACATCTGGATTGAACATCTGGAAGGTTAGCTTGAAAGTGGGCAGGAGCTCAGGGTCAGACACATCATTATGCTATAGTAGACTCTCTTGTGGGGATGGAGTATCATTTCAAATGCACAGAGATGGCCCCTATGATCCCCTTCACCTCCCTGGTAGCCATGTCTTATCAAGTGGTCTGAGTGGCCCACAGAATGTGGCCCGGCTGGCTGCCATTTTTGTTCCTGCCTTGCTCGCTCGTGGATCACTTGCTCTGGGAAATGTCAGCTGTCATGGCAGGCGGAGAACAGTCAAACAGCCCATAGAGAGGTCCTCCTTCGAGGAACTAAGGCCTCTTGCCAACCGCCATGGAGTAAATTCATTATGTGTTTTATTTTCTGGGTCTTAGGATGTTTGGCATCTTAGAGAAAACAAATCTTGTAGGCTGGTGAGATTGCCTTCTCTCCCAGAGCAGGGCCAAATCTTAAGAGTATTAGGAGCTCATCTGCCTCCGTGGAAGTTGGTGTGGTGGCATGCCTATAATCCAAGCTACTTGGGAGGCACAGGCAGGAAGATTGTGGTCCAAGGCCAGCCAGGGCAATTTCTTTATTAGTAAAAAAAAAATCACTATCTGGCTGGGAATGTGGCTTAGTAGTAGAGTGCTTGCCTAGCATGCATGAAGCCCTGGGTTCGATTCCTCAGCACCACATACACAGAACAAGCTGGAAGTGGTGCTGTGGTTCAAGTAGTAGAGTGCTAGCCTAGGGCAAAAGAAGCTCAGGGACAGTGCCAAGGCCCTGAGTTCAGGCCCCAGGACTGGCAAAAACAAAATCTTTATCTGCTGGGCACCAGTGGCTCACACCTATAATCCTAGCTACTCAGGAGGCTGAGATCTGAAGATCTTGGTTTGAAGCCAGCCTGGGCAGGAAAGACCTTGACACTTATCTTCAATGAACCACCAGAAAACTGGAAGTGGCGCTATGGCTCAAAGTGGTAGAATACTAACCCTGAGCAAAAGGGACAGTGCCCAGGCACAGAATTCAAGCCCCAAGATGCCCCAAAACAAAAACAAAAGCAAAAAAATATTAAAACCTATCTGAAAAACAACTAAAGCAAAAAAAAAGAATAGGTGTGGCTCCATGGTAGAGAGGCCTGCCTAGCAAGCCCAAGGCTCTGAGTTCAAATCCCAGTACCTCAAGAAAAAAAGTCCTGAGAAGGATCGGGCCAAGAGGAGCCTTCTTCCCTCCTCTCTCATGCCCCAAATTCCCTGTATCTTTGCCTGTTCGGTCACATGTCCCAAGACCTCGCTCTCAGGAGCTCTGAGCATCTTAGAGCCCCACCCCTTCCTCCTGCCCTCTCCCCTTCCTCTAGGTCTCCCCCCCACAGGTACCAGGCATGATCCTCAATACCACACCCTCCATTCAGCCCCTGGGGGTTCCTGTTCCCATCCTCACCCCTCAACAACCTCCTCACCTCCTCAGACTCTGCTGACCTCCGCGTGGACCAGATGAATTCCATGACGGCCACGAAGACCGCGATGATCAGGCCACAGATGAGCACAACAAAAATGCCACCTATATTTTCCATGCCCAAGCCTGGGGGGTGGGGGTTGGAGAGAGCCAGGAGGGTGGGCTGTGTGGGTAAGGGATTGGGAGGGGCTGTGGGTGGGGCAGGGCCCTGGGGGGCGGGGCTGACCTTTAGCGCGGTGGTCCTCCTCCTTGGGGCACCGGCCTCCCTCCCACCACTTGCGCTTCAGGATCTCCAGCCGGTTGTTCTCCTGGAGCTGCAGGATGGCCAGCGTGATCTCATCCCGGAACGGGGAGCCTGGCCGGGCACATGAAGGAGATTGGCCATCAGGGCTCCCTCAACTTGGCTTTTCTGGCCCTGCCTCAGGCTCAGGATCATTGGTGTGGTTCTACCCTGCCCACATGGGGCTTGAACTCTGGGCCTGGGCGCTGTCCCTGATCTTTCAGCTCAAGGCGAGCACTCTACCACTTGAGCCACAGCGCCACTTCTGGTTTTCTGGTGGTTCATTGGAGATAACAGTCTCACGTATTTTTCTGCCTGGGGTTGGCTCTGAACTGTGATCCTCAGATCTCAGCCTCCTGAGTAGCTAGGATTACAGGTGTGCTACCAGTGCCAGGCTCACTGCTTTTTTTGTTGTTGTTGTTGGTTGTAGGACTTGAACTCAGGGCCTGGGCACTGTTCCTGAGCATTTTGTGCTCAAGGCTAGCACTCTACCACTTGAGCCACAGTACCACTTCCAGTTTTTTTTATTTGTATTTTTTTTAATTGTGAGAATACCGTACAGAGGAGTTACAATTACATGGGCACCACTTCCAGTTTTTGAATGATTTATTTGAGATAAGAGTCTCACTGGGACTTTTCTGCCTGAGCTGGCTTTGAACTTGGATCCTCAGATCTTAGCCTCCTGAGTAGGGAGGATTACAGGCATGAGCCACTGGTACCTGCCCCCTTTTTTCTTTTTTTCTTTTTCTTAGCAGTATTGATTTGAACCCAGGGCTTGGAGCCTGCTTGGTTTGGCTGGCTAGACTGGCACTGTACTGCTTGAGCCACACCCTCAGCCTCTTTCCCATACAGCAGCTAGAGAGTTTTGGGAGCTGGCAGAGCAGACTGCTCTGGCTGACAAATCGTGTGGCTTTCTGCCATGGATACAACAAGGTTCTCTTGGCCTTTGAGAGCCTGTACTCACAGGCAGCCACGCCCCAGCCACACCGGCCTGTTAGCAGGACCCCAAATCTGTTAAGCCAAGTCCCGCTGAAGGACCTTTGCCTCTACCTCCCAAACTCCTGGCCTTGGCTCACACTCCACTGCTCTCAGGTCCACACTGAGTCCTTGATTTAAAATGGCACTGAGGGGCTAGGAATGCAGCTCACTGATAGAGAAGCCCTGGGTTCGATTCCTCAGTACTATCTAAACAGAAAAGGCCGGAAGTGGCACTGTGGCTCAAGTGGTAGAGTACTAGCCTTGAGCAAAAAGAAGCTCAGCGATGTTGCACAGGCTTTGAGGTCAAGCCCCAGGATCAGTGCGCATGCCCACACAGAAAAGGTGCTGAGGATCTCTTTCCACATCAATTTCTTCCCAGTGTTCACAGGAACACCTGTCACCTGACAGCTGATGACATGGCTGTGTGTCTGTGGTCTTGGCAATTGCCCAGCATAGAACTTGGCATCCAGGAAAGTACTGGACCAGTTCCCTGAGTTAGTGGCCTGTTCTCCCTTCCATCCCACCTCTTGCCTCTTCCTTCCTTGCCTTCCTGTCCTTCCCTTGAGCCAGGGTTCAAAATGCTCCCCACATCCTGTTCTCTGTTGACTTCTTCATTGACTAAAGATGCTGGCTGAGCATCTGCAGCACACTAGGACAGAGGGACATGGGCAATGGGGACATAGTATTATCAGGCCTCTGCCACGTGTCAGACTCTGGGCTTACGAAGCATTCTTCAAGTCTCACAGTGACTCTGTGGGACTGTTTTGGGAGGAGGGGGTGATGCACCTGCCTCACGTCATGTGCTGGGTCCACGAGGGATGTGGGGCTCAAATCCAGGTCAGTGTGACCCCAGAGTCTGTCCACCCCCAAAGCTCCAGGCTACACTGCTTTCCTTGGCACTCCACTAACTTCCCTAACAAGGCTTCGATACTTTGCTGCAGAGCTACAGATAACTAAGGCAGGCACCATCAGCATGGACATGATTTTTGTAGGCCAAAAATAAGAAGAGGAGTCAGCGCCGGTGGCACATGCCTGTAATCCTGAGGATCTGAGGATCATGGTTCAAAGCCAGCCCAGATGGGAAAGTCCATGAGACTCTTTTTTTTTTTTTTTTGTCGGTCATGGGGCTTGAACTCTGGGCCTGGGCACTGTCCTTCAGCTCTTCAGCTCAAGGCGAGTGCTCTACCACTTGAGCTACAGCGCCACTTCCGGTTTTCTGGTGGTTTATTGGAGATAGGAGTCTCACGGTCTCTCCTGCCCGGGCTGGCTTTGAACCGCGATCCTCAGATCTCAGCCTCCTGAGTAGCTAGGATTACAGGCGTGAGCCACCAGCGCCCGGCTTTCCATGAGACTCTTATGTCCAATGAACCACTCAGAAAACCAAGTGGCGCTGTGGCTCAAGAGGTGGAGTGTTCCCTTTAAGCTGGGTGAGCGACAGCGCCCAGGCCCAGAGTTCAGGCCCCACAACTGACCAAAAAAAAAAAAAAAAGAAGAAGAAGAAGAAGAAAAGAAACAAAGACAACTTGCTGGTGGATTTTTTCCCCCCAGTATTGAGCCCTAAGAAGCATTATCTTGAAGTCTAAATGGGCATTTCTTTGCTTTCCTACCCTCTCCTTTTTTTCTTCCTTCTCTTCCACTTCCTTCCTTCCTTATTTTCTATCCCTCCTGTCCTTGTTTTCATCCCTCTATCTGTCCAGCATTTTCTAAACACCTGCTTTGAGTAAGACAATCTAGGCTTGGTGCAGAGAATATGAAACAAGAGGGGCGCTGGTGGCTCACGCCTGTAATTCTAGCTACTCAGGAGGCTGAGATCTGAGGATTTTAGTTCCAAGGAAAGTTGGTGAGATGCTTTTTTTTTTTTTTTTAAACTGGTCCTGGGGATCTATCACTTGAGGCACAGCACCTCTGCCTTTTTCTAAGGAGTTAATTGGAGATAAGAGTCTCACAGACTTTTCTGCCCGGGCTGGCTTCAATCCATGATCCTCAGATTTCAGCTTCCTAAATAACTAGGATTATAGGCATAAGCTCTGATGCCTGGCTCCACGAGACTCTTATCTCCAATTAACCACCAGGAAACCAGAAGTGGCACTGTGGCTCAAAGTGGTCGAGTGTTCAGCTGGAGCAAAAGAATTCAGGGACAGCACCTAGGCCCTGAGTTCAAGCCTCATGAATGACCAAAAAATGAAAAAGAAAGAAAAAGAAGATGAAGTAAAACCATTCCCTCTCTTCTAAGGGGGTCCTTGGGTCCATGGAAGAAGGGAGCAAGCCTTCCTGTCCATGTGTCTTGAGCTACATACATGAAGTTTCTTGGGATTTTCTCAAAAGCCTTCTGAGGCTGAACTGATTCTTCCTACATTCATTTTTTTTTTCCAGGTCAAGGGTACAGAGGTGATGAGACCTGCCCAGGAAGGGCCTGGCCTCGCCCTGGGCCTGCTCACACATCTCCATCCAGATGTACAGCACCCTGGCCACGTCCCACGACCCCAGCGGAAGCGGCCATACCCAGCGGCATGCCGATGCCGTAGCCCTTGGTGTCGAGGAGGCCCCCGATCTGGGTGAGGTTGCAGTTGAGGCGCCGGTGGTACTCGTTCATGGTGGACTCGAGCAGGAAGGCATAGCGGGAGTTGAGGACGCGGGCGATGCCCTCTTCCGTGCTCTTGACGAACACACTGGGCTGCTTTGACTGCATGTAGTTCCACATGCGCTGGTACGTCTGGTACCGTGAGTTCTGGATGAAGAGATCACAGGGGGAAACAGGTCAAGCCCTACCCCCCCCCACCTCCCTACTGCCCTTCCAACCTCAGAGCCAGAGCCAGAGGGAGCCAGAGAGAGAGAGAGAGAGAGTGCGAGAACGAATGCAGACAACTAAGACCAGGTCCAATTCACCCCCACATTCCTCTTTCTAAAAGACCCTCAAGGGACTGGGAAGGTGGCTCAGTGGTAGAGTGCTAGCCTAGTATGCATGAAGTCCTGGGTTCCATTCCTCAGTACCACATACACAGAAAAAGCCAGAAGTGGTACTGTGGCTCAAGTGGTAAAGTGCTAGCCTTGAGCAAAAGAAGCTCAGATACAGTGCCCAGGCCCTGGGTTCAAGCCCCAAATAAAATAAAATATCCTCGCCGGGCGCTGGTGGCTCACGCCTGTAATCCTAGCTACTCAAGAGGCTGAGATCTGAGGATCGCGGTTCAAAGCCAGCCCGGGCAGGAGAGACCGTGAGACTCCTATCTCCAATAAACCACCAGAAAACCGGAAGTGGTGCTGTAGCTCAAGTGGTAGAGCGCTCGCCTAGAGCTGAAGAGCTGAGGGACAGCGCCCAGGCCCAGAGTTCAAGCCCCATAACTGACAAAAAAAAAAAAAATATCCTCAACTTTTCACTGGCTCAGCTATTCTCAAACCTGTCCTACCTGCGGTCTTACCTCCTGCCTCTTCTTCCTCAATCCTCTCATCCAGGAGTCTGGCCAAGCTCAGTTCTAGCTTCCCCAAAGCTGGTCTACTCCAACCTGGCCCAGAGGGGACTTCCAGCCATCAGTGGTCATCTCTGGTTCCCAAGTGCAGGGTCCAGGGTAAAGCCCCACACTGGCCTTTGAGCTCTCGGAGCCTGGCTGGCCTTCCTCACTGGACTCCCTCCTCTCCTTTCCCATCTCTGCCAATACACAGGGACAAGCTCCCATCCCCTGGCAGGTTCTTCCTCTCCTCTGCTGCCCACATTCCCAGGCGTGGCCCTCCCGGCACTCTCACTGACACCAGTGGTTCCGTGCTATGAGCGCAGATTGATCATCACTGTCTCCCTCATCTGCCCCCTGCCCAGCGATCATGGCACCCGTGTGTTCTGCCCCTCCCCATCCATCTCTCCAGCCCCACCTAGAGGTGAACTGTGCATGATGCAGGGGAGGGTTTCACCTGGAAGAAGGTCATGGTGGAGCCGGCGTGGATGGTGCCGTACTCGATGTTGGTCTGGTCCGCCAGGTCATCAGCTGACTCCACAGGCACCTCCATCCGCTGCACCGTGAGGAAGGCAGCCAGGTTGGCCGTGTAGGATGAGATGATGATCAAGGTGAAGGCCCACCTGTGGGTCAGTAAGGGTGAGTTGTGAACAGATGCCCCCCCCATTGGTGGTTCCCACTCCCCCCTCCCCCGACCAGTTCCTCCAACAAGTAAAAGGCTCAGTTGCTGCTGACCAGTGGGGAGACTACAAGTATGGCTTCCTGATCAGACTCATGGGGTTAAGAATTTCTAGGCCTCTACTTCCGGGTGCAAGAATAAGGCTGTCTGGGAAATAGCTGGAAACTGGACAATAGAAAGTATTTGTTTGTTGGTTCTAGGGCTTGAACTCAGGGCCTGGGTGCTGTCCTTAAGCCTTTTTGTGTTCTTGAACACAATGTGCTCTATCACTTCAGCCATAGTGCCACTTCCGGTTTTTGAGTAGTTCATTAGAGGTAAGAATCTCATGGAAACTTTTCTGCCCAGGCTGGCTTTCAACTGCAATCCTCAGATCTCAGTCTCCTAAGCAGCGAGGATTACAGGCATGAGTCACTGGCACTTGGCTTCAAAAATCATTTAAAGGAGGACAAAAGTTGTAGAAGGACTGTAATTCTCCCTCAAGGAAAGAAAAACAAAGCCTCCTTGTCCAGAGTAGCAGGCTGGGAGTTCCTTTATAGACTGCTGCAGGGAGAGAAACCCAGAAAGGCCAGCCATCCCATAGAGTCAGAGAGCAGACAACAGGGTAGGGTAGGGGAGAGGCAAGATGGCTGGAATCCATGGGTCAGAATACTCCAGGGGAGAAAGCTACATAGAGAGAAGGTTCCAAAGAGTTCCTTTGAGTGTGAGTGTGAATGTGTGTGTGTCTGTGCGTACACGTGCATGCGTGTGATGCTAGACAAGGACAATCTTTCAAGTGAGGGACAACCCCCAGCATCCACGGAGGGCTCCCTCTAGCCAGAGTAGAGATCTTCATAAATATAGGAGGTATTCAATAGAAACCCAGAAGTGCAATGGCGGAGATTCCAAGACTGTCTAAAGAAATGTAAACAATGTGAAGTTTATAATGTCGGCCAAAGCAATAAAAAATGATCATATAAGCGGGCGAAGGTGGCTCACGCCTGTAATTCTAGCTACTCAGGAGCCTGAGATCTGAGGATCATGGTTTGAAGCCAGCCCTGGCACCAAATTAACCATCCCCATTAACCACCTCCTCGCTCAAAAAAAAAAAAAAAGGAAGTTTAAAAAAAGCTTAGGGACAATGCCTAGGTCCTGAGTACAAACCCCAGTACTGGCACACACACACACACACACACACACACACACACACAATGACCATGCTAGGTGTTGGTGGCTCACACCTGTAATCCCAGCTACTCAGGTGGCTCAGATCTGAGGACGGCAATTCCAAGCCAGCTTGAACAGGCAAGTCCCTGACACTCTTATCTCCAATTAACCACTAAAAAGACGGAGGTGGGGTTGTGGCTCAAGTACGAGAGAACCAGCCTTGAGCACAAAAGCTCAAGCACAGTGCTCAAGCCCTGAGTTCAAGCCCTAGAATCAGCACACATGCAAAAAAAAAAAAAAAAAGGCCAGATCCAAGAAAGTATGACCTACACACACACACACACACACACACACACACACACACACACACACACACACACACACACACATATATATATATATATATAGCCAAGAGAAAAGTCATCCTAGAATTGACTGAGAGTGTGGAGAGAGAAGATGAGAACATGAAAACATACCTGGAGAACACCAAACAGCTTCTGGACAAGCAAATGTGTGAGAAGTAGAAGGAAGAGAGTCTGGACCGGAGGCTGCAGGGCGTGTGACCAGTGGGGCAGAGGGCACTCCACTGGAGAGCGTGACCCTCAGAAGGACGGTGCCCTGGGCCTCCTGGGGACATGGGGCTTCAGCTATATTTGTTTTGGGGGCTGTCCTCAGTGTCTTCTCTGCCACCTCATCACATGCCCCGTCTTGAATGCCCCTCCTTCTCTTTTGCACAGACAATAACAGCCTATAGGACAAATCCACCTTCTCTGGGGATCATTCTCTACTCCTTCCTCATAGCTTCCTGCTCTTTCCTCAGCATCGCTTCTATGTAAATTGGATACCTCGTTATATTCAATGGATGAACACATTCCACTTGGGCTGGGTGGTAGCAGAAGCAGCCTCCTCTCCCCATAGCTCAAGTGGTAGAATGCCTGACTAACAAGGACGAGGCCCTGGGTTCAATCCCCAGATGACAACAATCTTAATACATAAATAAATAATACCTTCACCACCACCACCAGAAATGACTATACCCTGGTCCCAGAAGAGATCACTATGTCATCTCTTATGGTAAAAGGGTCTTTGCAGGGGCTGGGAAGGTGGCTCAGTGGTAAAGTGCTTGCCTCACATGCATGAGGCCCTGGGTTCAATTCCTCTGCATCACATAAGCAATAAAAAGCTGGAAGTGGCACTGTGGCTCAAGTGGTAGAGGACTCGCCTTGAGCTGAAGAGCTGAAGGACAGCGCCCAGGCTCAGAGTTCAAGCCCCACACCTGACGACAAAAAAAATAAAAAAATGAAAAGGTCTTTGAAGAAGTGATTAAGGTATGCAGATGATCCTGGATTATCCAGGCAGCAGGCCCAATGGAAGAAGGAAGTGAAAGTCAGAAAGGCTTGCAGATGCTACACTGCTGGCTTTGGACCTGGAGGAAGGGTCCATGAGCCAAGGGATGCAGGAGGCTTTGGAAAAGGCAAAGAATGGGACTCCTCACCCACCCTGAGTCTTCCTCCAGAAGGAAGAAGCCTTGCCAACAACATGGTTTTAGCTCAGTGAGATCCACTTTGAATTTCTGACCTCCAGAACTAGAAGAGAATCTATGTTGCGTTGTATTAAATGCACAGGAATTTCTGCAGCAGCCATAGGAAACAAAGACCAGGGTATTATGGAAATGGTGCAGACTCAAGACCACTCATTAAAATAATACTAATAATCATGAGGACTGGAAGGTTTGTGAGGTGGTGGATCAAGAGAGGTGCAAATGATTCCATATGGCAGTTCCACTTAGTTAAGGGAGAGTGAAACCCACCACCCATGAAGGTTAGTCTCGACCAGGTTTCAAATGAGAACATCTTTGGGGCATATGCCTTGAATAAAACCTAATGTCCAACATTTCTTATCCGTTTCATTCATTCTCTTCTCTGCCTCTGGAGGGCAGGGGCGGGGCTGTTGAGTTCTCTGAACACTTCCGGTACATGGAAGGCTCCAGAAGCCTCTGTGGAATGGCCACAGATGCTAAACTCTAATGGGAGGATGTGGGGGAAGAAGCACTCTGGAAGACCAGATACTTAGCTTGCTCAGGAGAACTTATGAAGTTCTCAGCAGCCTGCTAGACCCAGGCAGTAAAGAGCCTGGGGCTAGCATGCCTCTAGCTAAATTAGCATGCTCATTCCTTGTCCCTGGGTCTCACTCTTCCAGTTCCATAAAACAGGGAGAATGTTCCAGTCCTAAGCTTTTCCCTTGGCTTTCTGTGTTAACTGCTGAGAAGGAGGGGAGCATACGTTGAGGTCAGGCCAGAGCGACAGAAATGGGGAGCATAGGACCTGGGGCTGATGTTAGCACCCTACTCCCAACCCTGATTTCATTCAGAACTCAGATGGGCCCTTCCCAGCCCTGGGTGTGGGGGTGGGGTGGGGAAGGACAGACGGAAACATCTCACCACACTCCACTGACACAGCGCGTGGACAGCGCGCGGGGCATGATCTCGGAGCCTTGCTGCATGAAGCCCCCCACGGGGAACCACAGGCTGTTGCCCAGCGTGTACTGGTTCTCCAGGAGGTGGGGACGAGCACGCAGGCATGGGTGCGGGTTATACCACTCATAGGGACTCAGCCTGTGGAGAGATGGGGGGGGAGGGAAAGGGGGCCAAGGTGCGGAGGAAAAGGAGAGAAACGGAGGAGACAGAGTCACCATGATTAGAAGGGGAAGAAGAGGATGCACGATGGACAGGCATGCAGAGGGAAGGTACATCCATGGAGGGGTGGGGCAGAGACACAGAGAGAGAGAGAGAGAGAGAGACAGGGATGCTGAGACTCCCAGGGGCAAGTAGAGAAAGGAGAGAGTCAGAGAAAAGAGGAAAGACAGCAGCTCAGAGAGCGAACCAGAGCACCAAAGTCAGAGCCACAAAGGAAAGAATGGGCCCCAGAGCTACAGTAAGAAAGGGAGAAAAGAGGCCCCTGTAATGGATGGTCCCCAGCAGCCCAGGGAACGCACAGGTAGCGTGCAGGGCCAGCCTCGTGTCTCTTTCCACCCTGGCAGCAGGCAATGCACTCACCTGGCGGCCAGGAACAGGACACAGCTGACGGCCAGGTAGGCAAGAAGCATGAAGAGCCACACAGCAGGAGAGAAGGGATCCAGGAAAGAAAAGTAGCCAGGCTTGCGGCCCTAGGGAGGTGTGGGGGGGAGGGGAATAAGACTAGCTACCCCTGCCCAGCACTGTGTGGTCCACCCCAGCTCCAATCAGGGACTCAGAAGCCTGACACGCCCATCCATGAAGCACCTCAGCCCCTGCCCAGCCCTCGAGCTAGACTGCAGCCCTCCGTCCCTAGAGGAAGCATACCATGTGCACGCGGTAGAGGATGCTGATACCCAGGGTCATGAAGGGCTTGGAGAAGTCGATGACCTTCTCACGCTCGGCTGTGATGGTGAAAGCTGCCACAGCCAGGTCTGCCTTCTGCTGGGGGGGAAGGAGGTTGGGGCAGAGAGGAAGAGGAGAGAGATAGAGACAGGCAATTAGAGAGAAGTGTACGCCCCACTGAACTGAGTGGATGGAGAAGAGAGAAGAAGTGAGGAGAAGGGCCAGGACCCTGGGCTAGTCTAGGAGACCCTGAAAGCTACGCAGATGCCTAAATTTTTTTTTAATTATTCATCCAGATGTCCCACCCAGATATTGGATGTCTCACCCTTCTTGGTCATGTTCATAATTAAGAGTCTTTTTTTTTTCTTTTTGGCCAGACCTAGGGCTTGAACTCAGGGCCTAAGAACTGTCCCTGAGCTTCTTCTGCTCAAGGCTAGCACTCTATCACTTCACCTACAGTGCCACTTCTGGCTTTTTCGGTGTATGTGGTACTGAGAAAGCAAACCCAGGGCTTCATGCATGCTAGGCAAGCACTCTACCACTAAGCCACATTCCCAGCCCCTAGAGTCTTGTTTTATAGAGCTCTTGACTCCTCCTACCCTGGGTCATGAAGATTGCTGACGATCGGCATCAAAATGTCTAGATGTGCCAGGCGCTGGTGGCTCACACCTACAATCCTAGCTACTCTGGAGGTTGAGATCTGAAGACCCTGGTTCAAAGCCAGCCTGGGCAGGAAACCCCATGAGACTCTTATCTCCAATAAACTACTCAGAAAAAAAAAGTGGCATTGTAGCTCAAGTGGTAGAGTGCTCACCTTGAGCAAAAGAAGCTCAGGGCCTTGAGTTCAAGCCCCAGGACTGGCAGGGGGGATAAAAAGGTGTGGATGATAGCTTTCTCTGGGAATCCCCTTTCAGGCCTTGTTTTCACATCTTCTTGTGCCATGCCACAAAGACCTATGAACAAATTATACTGTCCACTCTTCCCTACAGCTCCCTGAGCCACACTTAGCCCTGTTTCTCTGATCTCAGAGGGGCAAAGGCACTAAGCAGTGAGCAAGTCAGGAACTGGGGGCCACGGAGTTGGGATGTAATGGCTACTCTCCTGTACTTGTCCAATACCTGCAACCTAGATATATGCCTAAATGACCAATGATACACAGGACCAGTGCCCAGCTGAGCTGAGATCATCTATCTATCTATCTATCTATCTCATATACATATATATTACACACATGTTATATATATATTATATGCATGCATATATTAGATATATTATGTAATATATTATATATTAATGTGTTAATAATTATAAGTAATAATATATATATTGTATAATATATCATTTATATATTATATAGTAATACATATTATATTATATATTATATATGTAATATATATATTACATACACACATATATGAGCAGCCTCTTTTGTGGGTTGTTTGAAACAAGGTAAAGTATCTCTATATAGCCTAGACTGGCCTCAAACTCTCAAGCCCTCTGTCTCAGCCTCCTAAGTGTTGTGATACATGATCACTCCCAACTCAGTGATTTTATTTATTTATTTATTTATTTAGCCAATCCTGGTGCTTGAACTCAGGGCCTGGGCACTGTCTCTGAACTTTCTCACCCAAGTCTAACACTCTACCACTTGAGCCACAGCTTCCATTTCTGGCTGTTCTGAATCATTTATTGGAGATTAGAGTCTCATAGACTTTCCTGCCTGGGCTGGCTTTGAACCATGACCCTCAAATCTCAGCCTCCTGAGTAGCTAGGATGACAAGCTTGAACCTCTAGTGCCTGGCTTTGATTTGTATTCTTTTTTTTTTTTTTTCCTTTTGGTCATGAGGCCTGAACTCTGGGCCTGGGCGCTCTCCCTGAGTGCTTCAGCTCAAGGCTAGCACTCTACCACTTGAGCTGCAGCACCACTTCCGGTTTTCTGGTGGCTTATTGGAGATAAGAGTCTCACAGAGTTTGCTGCCTGGCTGGCTTTGAACTGCAATCCTTAGATCTCAGCCTCCTGAGTAGCTGGGATTACAGGTGTGAACCACTGGCACCCGGCTTGATTTGTATCCTTTTAAGTGTTAGTTTTCTTACTATTCCTTCTGGCTTATGTTACCAGCCTGTGTGTGGTTCAGATAGAAGTGCAGAGCCACGTCGTGGAGTAGTAGATTCTCAAAACTCAGTGCTCTGGTCTTGGCTCATTCAGGTTTCCTGCATAGCATACCCAGATGCCACTGTCCCTCCGCACTGTATCACTGGATCTACTTGCCGCCTCATGCCAGCCTTCCACTGGCCACAGCCCCTTGGCCGGAGGCACCATCTCTCTACCCCATCCTCCCATCTCTCCAAGAGCCCTCAGAACAAAATTCTCTTCTTCATTTGAATACCCTGGTGGTTTGTCTCTGGGCAGGACCAGCTTAAGCCAGAAGAGACCCACCCAGGTCCTGAGGCTCACTCCTGGGCACAGGCAGGTGTTGGATCTCTAGCAGGCCCCTGTGAGAAGCCAGGAGTAAAGTCTTCAAGAGAACACTTCCCATGAGTACTACTCCATGAGGTACTGCTGGTCTCCACTGCGGCTCCAGATAGCAGCTAATTTGCCACCACCAGCACACTGCAGTTCTCTGAGTCTGCTGGGTTATGAGGCCCAGGGGACAGATCTGCCTGCCCGCAGCCTGGAGTTCCTGCAAAGACAGCATACATTCTGGACCTGGCTCAAATCGCAAAGCTGTGTGGGTCATTTGGAAGATAAGAGGAGAGAAGTTGTACAATCTGATGTGGCATAAGTGGCCATCAAAATCCAAAACCTGGCAAAATGTCACCAGCACCAAACACACTGAACTCCTTTCCTTAGAGGTCTGAGTCTTAAATCTGTGGGGACTCCTCCCCTCCAATCTCTGGGTTTCTAAGTTTGCATCTTTCCAATCTTTTCCCCTTGTCACTTCTGTCATATTGGCTGTTTCCTGCAGTTGCTACCTATATGACTCTTCCTTTCTGTCTCTCTGTCTCTCTCTTCCTCCCTCCCTCCCTTTCTCCCTCCCTCCCTCCCTTCTTCCTTTTCCTTCCTTCCTTCTTTCTTTCTTTCTTCTTCCTTCCTTTCTTCCCCCCTCTCTCTCCCTCTCTCTCTCCCTCCATCTTTCTGCTAGTCCTGGGGCTTGAACTCAGGGCCTGGGCACTATCTCTGTGCTGCTTTTGCTTAAGGCTAGCACTCTACCACTTGAGCCACCTTTCCACTTCTGGCCTTTTCTGTTTATGTGCTACTGAGGAATCAAATCCAGGGTTTTATGCATGTTAGGCAACCACTCTACCACTAAACCACATTCCCAGCCCCCTTTTCTTTTTCCTGTTTGTCCTTAACTTGTTTATTGTTAACTTTACAATTAGTTGACAAATACTTGTTAAAATTATTATTATTTTGTGTGTGTGTGTGTGTTGTTTGGTTGGTCGGTTGGTTTTGGGGCTTGAACTCAAGGCTTGGGAACTGTCCCTCAGCCTCTTTGTGCTCAAGGCTAGTGTTCAACCACTTCTGATTTTTGAGTGGTTAATTAGAGATAAGAGTCTCATGGGACTTTTATGCGTGGGCTAGCTTAGAACCGTGATCCTCAGATCTCAGTCTCCTGAGTAGCTAGGATTACACCAGCACCTGGCTCTTTAATTTTTTTTTTTTATGGAAGTACTGATGTTATAATTCAGGGCTCACACTTACTAGCAGGGGCTATATCACTTGAGCCTTTGTTTTACTTTGCTTTTCAGATAGAGTCTTGTGCTTTTGCTACAGCATCAGCCCCTGATTACCTCCCTTCTCCACCTCCTGTGTAGCTGGGATTATAGGCATATAGCACCACATTTAGCTAAATAACATTTTTTTTTTGGGTCCGGTTGTGGGGTCTGAACTCTGGGCCTGGGCGCTGTCTCTCAGCTCTTCAGTTCAAGGCTAGCGCTCTACCACTTGAGCCACAGCACCACTTCCGGCTTTTTTCTTTTTTGCTTATGTGGTGCTGAGGAATCGAACCCAGGGCCTCTGGCATGCAAGGCAAGCGCTCTACCACTGAGCCACCTTCCCAGCTCCCTAAATAACATTTTTAAGCATTACAAATGTATATTATAAACATATCCACATATAGATATAAATGAACATATAAATATACATATACATACATACATACATACATGTACACTCTTTGAGCCCTCAGGTTCACTTCAAGAAATATACGTAGCCAGAGCTGGGAAGGTGGCTTAGTGGTACACTGCATGCCTCACATGCATGAAGTCCTGGGTTCGATTCCTCAGTACCACATAAATAGAAAAAGCTGGAAGTGGTACTGTGACTCAAGTGGTAGAGTGCTAGCCTTGAGCAAAAGAAGCTCAGAGACAATGCCCAGGCCCAGAGTTCAAGCTCCAGGACTGGCATAAAAGAAGAAAGAAAGGAAAGAAAGAAAGAAAGAGAGAGAGAGAGAAAGAAAGGAAGAAAGAAAAAAGAAAGAAAGAAAGAAAGAAAGAAAGAAAGAAAGAAAGAAAGAAAGAAAGAAAGAAAGAAAGAAAGAGAAAAATATATTTAGCCAAGAGCTGGTGGCTCACACCTGTAAATCCTAGCCATTTAGGAGGTTGAAATCTGAGGATCATGGTTGGAAGCCAGCCTGGGCAGAAAAGTCCCCATGAGACTTATTTCCAATCAAGCACTCAAAATCCAGAAGTGGAGCTGTGGCTCAAAGTGGTAGAGAGCTAGCCTTGAACTGAAGAGCTCAGGGACAGTGCCCAGGCCCAGAGTTCAAGCCCCATGGCCAACCAGAAAATAAAAAGAAAAGAAAAAGAAAAAGAAAGAAAAGAAAAGAAAGAAAGAAGAAAACAAAGGTTGTTTACAATCCTTACTCTTAAGACAATGCTTCATGCTAGGCCCAGGCCTTGAGTTCAAGCCCTATGACCAACAACAAAAACAAAACAAACCACAGTCCTTCAAAATAGCCTTGTACATAGGCTACTTTCACATGTGAAATACATTTGCACACTTCTGGTTTTCTGGTGGTTAGTTCGAGATGAGAGTCTCATGGACTTTCCTGCCTGGGCTGCCTTTGAACTGTTATCCTCATATCTCAGCCTCC